TCAGGATTCTCCCACTAATCGATTCCCACCATTTTTTTGGATTGAAAATAAAGATATCTTTGACAATAGGAAGAAAGGGTTGCCTACATGAAGAGAGGGTTGCCTATTTTCTCTTCCAAGACAAAAGGAAAATCCTCTTTACCTTTGGACAACCCTACATGGTAATGGAATTGAGAGAATCACAAACCATTATTCCTCTTTCTAGGCAGATTCTCTTCAATTATGGTAATTTATACAAGTCCAATATCCTTAATTTTGGACGAGTGAATATTGCAGTAGTAGTTGTTTGATTTCCCTCCTCCTCTTCTTCCCATCCTATTATTTCTTTGAAAAACTCCCTCTGTCTATTCAATGACTAATGACAAAAAAAAACTAAATAAAATGAAGGGGGAGAAGATGACCATCGGCAATGCTAAGAAATAAAGGAAAGAAATGTTGCAGACGTGATTCAAGGGATAAGCCTTGATCAGTTGACAACTAATGAAATAAATCCATTTACATGAAATTCAACTCCCCCTCCCCTTCAAGTTGGTGCATGCAAATTTGAAATGCCCAACTTGTGAAGAAGAAGTTGGAACTGGTCTCCTCCAAAAGCCTTTGTGAATATATCTGTAGGTTGAGATTTGGAGGGAATATGAGGAGTGATTGCACGTGATTGTATCTAATAACGAATTAAAAGTAAACAAATCAATAATTAAAAGTCCAAAGTAAAAATAGTTAGCAATTACAATAATTAGTAATTGCAAAAGAAAGAAATATAAGAGGTGATTTAATTGTTAAAAGTATAAAGTTTTAAATTAGAGATTTTATGTCTTAATTTCTTTTAATATAATCTATCATCATCATATATACAAGAAAAAAAAGTAATTGAAAAAGAAGAAAAAAAGTAATTGAAAAAGAATAACCTGATTAAATGAAAAAGTGTTAGAACAATCAAGTTATATTTTGAATTGGAAGAAAAAATGATGGGTTTAGGGAATAAATTATGAAGTAATTGACAAATAACTTTAGATTTGTCCTTTTTACCTATAATTAACATGTATATTATAATTTGTCATTTTATAGTTAAACCTAAAGAAAAATTTTAATATTTTAGGGGTATTTGGGGACTTTAGCCCTAACCCAGCCCCTAATTTAAGGGTTTTATTCCTTACAATATCTGTATCTTTCCAATAATAACTCCAAATTTTATAGTTTCCAAATTTTATACTCCTAATTGTTGTAGAATGTATGATCTTGAATTGCTACTGGTTCAAAATTTGTTAATTCGTAAAGATTTCTTAATTTTCCTACTTCATTGAAAGCCTCTTGATAATTTGTATTTTGAGTGAAAGGAATTTACCCATTCAAACTAATACTTAATCTTTAAAACTTTTAAATTTGTTCTAACAATTCTTCTTGATTTTGGATCAAGAAAATTGTATGATGATGAAACTATGAAAGCTAACGGGTTTCATTGGTGGCTGTAATGTCTGTCTGCCCAGAGCCACACAGCGGGTAAACCATGCATTGCCAGTTACGTAATTTTGAGAAAGTTGAAGCCCTCTACATAT